CCAAACAAGCTTAGATATTGTTTAAAGCTTGAAAGCTTTTACCCCGATAACATGTAGGACACATGCGTACATGTACAACATGATGACATGATTATTGCTCTGACAGTGTGCAAATATGACAAGGTTGTGAACTGTTTTAATTTAACGTGACAAATTTTATTAAATTTGGAGAGTTAGGAAAAACTACGAGCAAATTTTAGCAGTAATGTTTTCACTTTTCACGATTTCATGAAAATATTGTCGGGTATACCTTGGACGTAAATGGCCGCCGATACCTTGGTGCGAGCGAAATTGTCACGAGACTTGCTTTTGCCCATTAAATAGTGTACCTGACCGCAGTCCTTCCAGGAACTGTGACCTTACTTATATAACCATGGAATGTTTAACTGTAAACTTTATGACGGAAAAAAAAGGAACTTAATTTGAGGGTCAAAATAAGTTTCGTTGTTCGTGCTTTCCCGTCGAATTTTAACATAATTGACTGCAGTGTAAAATATATAGTTCCCATGGAAGGTGTGGGCGTAAGCAAAGGATGATTAAGCGTTTCTGCAATTCAACTATTTGGTCAATGAAGGAGGTATAACTGTTACGTCATATTCTAATGTTAAATAGGACAGAATTGCCGGATATTAAAAGGATTTTTTTAGAAGTAAATATTATAAATGTTCGATGGTAAGATTTCCATCATTGCGTTAAGATGGTTGTGCTGTAGACAACTTATACCCGCAAAACTTCCGTAATCGTGCCAGTCGGCATAGCTTCTCTGTCGAGTTCTTTGATCACCGTCAAAACGCCTGTGTAGGTATCAATGTGGAAGTACTCTGTTTCAAATATCGTTGTATTCTCTCTGTCAGGGTCTGCAATAAAAAAATAAAAATAGACGATGTATCTATACACATATCGGATTATACATTCCGCAAAGAATTCGAATTGCTTACAGATTCGGTTACAGTTCAAGTCAATAATTACTAGTTACCTGCAAAGCTATAATAAACGGACTCATTTATTCCCAAATCCAAATCGAAGGCATCGATGGCAACATTCAGTGGACCAGTGACATTTTCATATACGCTATCAGTGTAAACTATATCCTGAAATGCTGGACTCATGTCATCTGCATCATCGACTTGGATATATAATATGGCCGTATCGTTCAATCGAGATTCGGCATCCTGTAAATAAAAGTGTTCTGATAGATTATTCAGAGCAACAACTCGTACAAAGACCAATTTGTATAGAAATAACTATTCTGATAATATCTTGAAATCAGCGAATCGACAACGTATGTATTTTGAAAATTGGCAAACCAAAGGAAAATTGACAAATATTCTAAGTAGAAAATATATACATGTATATATGACCAATATATTAAAAACATATATTAACTTATAAATTATCTGAATATTAACCTACTGATCAGGTATAATTTAGACCAGTAAGTTATATAAGCGTGTATTTCAACTATCTAGTGACATTCTTATCAAGGAAACATAACCTTGACAAATACACACAGTCTGTGTTGCACTCGCCTTTCGTAAAGAGGGTTAATCTGTATGGCCTTTGCCAAGGTTAAAAATGAGTGACTGTCATATTTAATGTGGAACATCATATGTAAAGTTTTTACACGTTTTCTCACCACAATACAATATTCATGACTGGGTAAAATGGGCTTGTTTACATAATATATATATATATACTGTTTAAAGTATACCTAATAATGCAAATTAAAACAGTGTATGTACTGCCATTTTTTATAATAAAGTATTATACATTCAAACACATTAATGAATATTTCACATAAACCGCGAAACATAAACTTTAAATTCATCTGAAGAAAACTAAAAACAAAGGTGATTTATATGATATGCTATCTGTAATTAAACCTATCAATTGTTTACTTGTAACAACAATTTAAATAAATAACCATTATGAACACTCAATTCACGAGTATGGAAATTATACTCACTTTACCATCATATACAATCAAAGTAAGATTGTAATATTTTTCCAGCTCATAATCGAGGGGCTCGGCGAGGAATATTTCGGCATTTGATGTTGCAGGGATATTAAAGTGACTCGACCCTGGTCCCTTTAAATACAAATATTACAATTAAAAACATCCTTTTTATGTAAGTGTAGTCTAAAGAGACTGTATGTTGCTATCATTCAACACTTGAATATCGAAACTACAACATAAACACATCATACGTCTAAGTAGTATAGCAGCGAGCCTTTAGTACAATCGTCGTCAGTTGCGCTAAAATCGTCAAATACAAGTGTACCAACCGGTGTCATCTGAAATGGTAAATAATAAAGCCAAGAATTAATGACTTACATTTTTATACACATTGGTAAGTGCTAACCAAGCTAGAACGCTCAATCAAGCACTTAAGAAATTAGCAAAAACAATCACATTGGTAAAACGCCCAAAATTTTACATAGAAACTACAACATTGCTGCATTACTATATCTTTAAATGTACTAATTCAAAATGAAAATCACCAGAATATTTGTAGACTAAAATATAATTATATTGCCGTAAATACTATATTTTGCCAATGACTGAGATTACGCTGATCAATAATAACCTCGACTCATGTTAACGTTACTATCAACGCTTACATGAATGTCTTTAATTATATCATACATTGCTACTAATGAACGAATGTTTATAAACAAAGAAATTGGTTGAATACTTTTTAAAAATAATAGAACATAAGTGATCATAAAAAATATGTTAATTAGAATTATGTTTTCGAATGCTTCACTTCTTTTAGCAGCATATTGTGATATCACTACATGTCTAAAATGTCTGACTAAATTTAGCAACATTCCAGATTACTCACTACATTTAAATGTATTAGTGATTACAGACAACTCAGAATTGTTCTCGGAAATTAAATCGTCCTTATTTTGCAAAGCCAACAAAATGCAAAATAATTCCAACTTACCTCATTTACTTTGGTAGAATAAATGTCTTTTTCAAAAACAGGAGCCACGTCATTTACGTCAAAAATATCAATTGTTAAAGTGAACATTTCTCTCTGAAAAAAGAGAAGAATAAACAAGACAAACATGAAACTGGTATATAAAATAATATAACTGGATGTCCTTGATTAGCACTATTTATTCATGTCATCAAATAAATCAAATCTCAAAACAAAATAACCACTATTTACTATATCAATTTGGCATATACTTAACAGGAAATACTTGTACAACGCTATAGTATGTGTTTTGTCACATTTTCTTCATTTCATGTTGCTAGTGACAATCAAATCAAAATGTTAGTAGGCCGATCATCAAATTGTGAAACAATATAAACTGCACTTGTATACTAGAATATATATATCATGTAAACCGACCATTGCATGGAAATAGATGGCAATGGATACAACGAATGGTGGACGAACACGTGGCGATTTATAATAATCAACGGGGACTTACGTCTTCTCATTTTTATTAGTTGATAACCACTTTCTCAGGCTTTGGAAACTCACGTTTAAAGAATTGGAATAAATATATTTAAACTTACCGAGTCGCTATCACAATCAATGTAGACGATGAACTGTTTTTCATCACACTGCATGAATAAATTGTTTATATATAAAAAATAATAATAACACAATACAAGATAATTAAGACAAAATATCAAATTAATCATTTTTGTTGTTTTCAAGAAATCGTAATAATATTTTTTACCCAAAATGACAAAAAATAGAAAATTTAATTTAACGCTGAAAACGAAATTAAACAAATGAGTCTAAGTGAACATAAATTGTAGACATACACAGGAAACACGGCAAGATATCAGTTCAACCTGCGACAGCTGGACCCGGTCATAGGCGACCATGTTGCTGGCGGAAACGGTTTAATAAATTGACAGTTTTTGTGTTAAACATGCTGACTATGTTGAACATTATCTCGCAAAATAATCACATTATAAATCAAAGTAAGCATGTTCTACGAGAATGACTCAAACCGTACGGTACCAAATCGCCAAGTCGCGTTTTCCCTCGGCAGCAAACACTCCAAAAGAATGCTTAATAACTGAGCATGGATGTATGAGTAAAAGTAATTACATGCGGTATAAAATAATTAATATAAATATAATACTACAGTTTCAAAAAAGCAATTAACAGCCTTCTTTCTTCAGATAAGATGAGATCGAACCAACTAAATCACTATGATGTACATGTACAGGTATACAACATGCGAGAGCACAAGATGGTAGACAGAAGTATTAGCGGAAGAGAAATGAAAACAGTAAATAGTACACTGCAAGATCGAATGTGAGATGATTGAACACAAGTATAAGTGTTCATTGGGCTAGGTTTTAAAATTAAATATTAAAACTTTACAAAAGGTACACGGAAAGTGGATTTGGTGTAGAGCGATAGGCGCGGAATTGGATAAGGAGAGCCATAATTTCAAAAGAATCGAAACACGGTAGAAGAGATGCTATATATTTTAACAACAATATATTTTGAATTACAGTATATACACTAAAAGAGACATGTCGGTATGCAATTTATGTTCTCCGAACAACATGCGTCAATGACAGTCATTCATTGAAGTTAATTAATTTTATTGAAAGAAATTTTAACGGCAGTTCAAACAAGAAATTACATATAGAAAAAAAGTCTGATAAAACACACAGCAATGATAAATCAATTTCCACTTTACAAAGATTATTATTTTCCTATTTAAATTGGCTAGAAAAAACAATAACATCTGACCGCAGGATTATGACATTCATTATCACATTGAAACTAAATTTAAAACACGGGATAGAGAAACATAATAATTCAGTGGCAGACTTACTCACGAAATAATAAAGACACACCCAGTGAGCGTCATAAATTATTATACATATTATATTATATATATGATAGTGCCATTGTACACGCAACTTATGCTACAAATACAATTAAAATTGATTAGATCCTAGGACTAATGAAATTAATCAAATATCGATTAAACCTTTTTTTTTTCTTTTCTTTTTTTTGTACAGCAAAATACAGATAATTTGGTAGAGCACTTTCAGTTTCTAGTTAAATTATACAATATAGCAGATTAACTACGTGCCCAGTCGAATAACGTTAAAATCATTATGACCATCTAAATTTCAGATAAATTGGATAGTTGTGTTTTTCCTTTACTCCATGAATACGCACAATATTTTGGCTGTAGTTTCGCGATCTCGATGGTATATGCAATTGATATTTACGCTTGTTGTGACATAGTGACACAGTTTCTGAAGTATGATAAATGGAGAACTTTGCAAGGCCCAAACCAAAATGATAAACGGAAATAAGCCTACCAACAGTACACGCTAAGTTCACACCGTCCTAATATAATCAAACGGAATTTGTTTTATTTTTCAATTACTTATTCACAAACAATTGAGTCAACATTTCGTAATGAATTATGCCCCAAGACGTAATGTGACAGAGCATCCTGATGTTTGTTTAGTATTGAAGTTATTTTCTTGAGTGATGCGATGTATACTGCGCCAGTAAAGTTTTAACAGTTTTTTACCAGTCAATTTCGGATAAATACCAACGAAATTTGGGTCACCACGACGAAGTGAACACAGCTGCTGATTGATTACTTGATATTTGTTGTCATATAATTATAATAAACAGTGTGTATATTTTAGGTTTATAGTGTACCTGCATATTGGTAATTTACATTACGTTTACGAACCACCTTTAATATTAGCACCACCATTTGGTCATCTGGAATTAGATCAGGAAACAAATACATGTGCTTATGTATGATACGATATGTGATGTATGTGTGAAGTTTGAGTATGATTAGTCGAAGCACATCTAAGATATGATCCTGAAACTGCATTTGTTACACAAAATGCCTGCCAGCCGGCTATTATGTTCGATGGACATACTATGGACACCACTGACATAAAATTGAGAAATTAATAAAGAACAATCCCGACATGGCATGGCCCAATCTTGTTAGAAAGAGCTCATTGACTGATTAGTTCCACGTTTTTCCTGAGATCAATCAGTTTTCATGATTTAAACTACGTGCACAAGTGTTAAATATGGCAAGTAGCTGAAACTATGCAACATTATTAAAGGCGATTAAGGCTCAGTCGTATCAGGCTGCAGGGCAGTATTCAGAGGCAAGGCCGAGGCACATATTCAGAAAGGTTTGGTATACTCAGTTACCTAAAGATACATCACGGATGATTCCGAACGTGTAGTAAAATAGGCTTCAGCACACAACAAACAACAACGTCAACCATGAATCTGATAACAGCTAATTCACACAATAGTGCGCATGCGGAACGCAAACTTGGGACGAATGTAGCATAATGTAAATTCTGCATTCTTAGGCAACTTCACCTCACCCTAAATACAATTAAATCATATTTTGATTTATTCTCATCTTGATAGAATGTAGTAAATTAGATATCAGATCACATTTTTCGCTGAATTGGAAATTAAAATTAATCCACAGGGCCGATGTTTAGAATTTGGATTGTCAATTTTCGTACCTCCTGTGTAAAAGAAGTGCTTGTTCTTACTATCTAGAACTGGAGTAAGTACGACAAATTTAAGATCGAAGACCAACTGTGAGTATATGAAGACTATAACGGTCAGAGAAACAGATCAACGCGCGGGGGGAACGTGAAAGAGACCAAGACTTAAATATTTGTAATTATTATCTAATTGTGTAAAATGTTAATTTTGTGTTATATAATTTTATGTGAATACAACAATTTGAATCATATTTTGCAGCAAGAACAAAATGTCTGCAATATGACAAACTTTCTGGTGGCATATATGTGCTTTAAAAATGTTCTAATGATCTGAAATGAAATATTTGGGTGAAATTAGAAGTCAATGTTATAATGAATTTTGCACGATTTTAAATGAACTAGTTTACAGATAGACAATGGCTTCATGTATTTGAACATGTAAAGTGTACACATGCCTTACAAAATTCTGCAGTTGTAATATCGGTGATTTTACTGTAGTAGAAGGTAGCTAAACTAAGGCAGAACAAGGATTGCATTTGGCATCGGCTACTCATCGATCGATACGGCTTAGCGCTTACGTTGCGGTATACTCGTGTTAACCTGGAAATTACTATTCTCCTTTCGAATAATAGTTGTAAAAGTGTGCCTATACAGTAATTTGTAATAATGCATTGGGATAATGCCATTATGCTGATAAACCAACATTGAATATTAGGATGATAAATATAGCCTAAAAGTGGTCAACATAACATGGCGTACAGAGGGTGGAATATACTAATAGTAAGATCATCTATATATAACTATAGTTAGACGTTTTACTACTTACGTCTTCATCATGATCGTACACATCTCCCCACTCTACAAATACGTCGTCTATGACAAACAACCCATTATAATCAGAGTCATCTACTATTTCAAATGAGGTAGCACTGCTGACGGTGGACATGTTATAAATAATTGTTCCTAAAGTAAATTAACGACGGTGAGAATGAAAAAGCATTTGTAGTATGATTTGTGTGCATTCCTGACATAGAAAGCTGGTATCTGGAAAGAATATACAGTCCCATAAAGCAGTCTATTATAGGCAATACATTTGTAAATGTATTTACGATATCAATCAAACACAAAAGAAGAACGGTTAATTAATTCACTAAATTTGCATAACACCAATAACACTTCACATTATGTCAAATGATATTATGCATAAATTGTGACAGGATTCGGAAGAAAGGAACTGGATATATCAATTGAACCAGTTATTAGAACGAAAGTATTAAAACGAATCAGGATTATAAGTTTGTTGGTAATTCAATTGTATATCGATCGACATCAAATGTGAATATACGAAAACCAAATAATCAGCTTCACTGGTAAATCAAAGAACTCATACCAAATTCATTCAGAATATTGTCCCATATCGTCGTTGGAGCAGGATTGATTTGAATCGTATTAAATCATATTTGGGAGTATGACATTGACAAATTAAACTAATATAATATAATATAATCATTTGTTCAACATGAATGAATTTGCCTAATGACTAAGAATTGAACATCTATATGTCTGTGACACTATAAATTACGGTATGTACCCGAAACTAGCCTGTTATGTATGTCCGGCACAATGCATATGGTTAAAAGATTTATTTTGCTAACACACTATATTAGAGATATCCTACCTATAGGTTGTTCTTCGTATTCCTCTGCTACACCGATATCAGGCTCAAAGCTACAAGTCTGTGATTCTCCTAAAGAAAAAAATGTGGCAATACAAAATAATATGACAGTCTTACTGTTAACATGAGTAAAAGAAGAACATGATCAGCGGATAACAACAACAACACGCGTTTACAAGGTAGTCTTTAGTGTTGCAATCAGTTTTGTTTTTTTTGTTTGTTATGTTCACTGATTCTAAATTCAAATAAAGTTTATTCGTATCTGCTGGATGCATTGTACAGTGCCAAAAAATTGGTTTAAAAACAAAACAAATCAATGGCTTTCCCTAAACAGTAGTTTAGGGAAAGCCATTATATATAGATCTGTGTCACTGTGTGGCATTATTGCTCTGGGCCTTGCTTTGAATATGCGGAATGATTTCTAATTTACGTTCGTTATAGTGTGGTCGAAATGGATCACTGTCTTGTCCGTCACAAGATGTACATTATCATTATTTTGGAATTACTTTTATACAACTTGGTCTGCTTATTATGTATAAAGCTCACCTAAGAGCAGATGTCACCTTGTTTTTAGACTGGGTCGATTATTGTGTTGATAAATGGGTAACTACCATGTCATATATACATATATCTACCACGTTTTACTGTTCGTTTGATAAAATTTGAAGGTTTATATATATTTTTAATACAATGTGACGTATGGAGTGGGACTAACATCATGCACGCAAGATCGGTCAGAAGCACGGGCTATATCTCTACTTTGACAATTGAGAGAAATAAAAATAAGGAAATAGTATAATTGAATGTTCAATATATCACATACCTTGTCTCGCAAAAAGTACTACCAGGAGCAAACATATCATTTGCTTACCTAGAAACAACAATATGTTTGCGTTACCTATATAATAGATACATAGGAGAAACAGGATATATATTTCAAAGCCATTCACGTAGTCACATAATTTCAAACAATTACTTTAAGGCAAACAGGGAAGAAGCTTTCCATGAGTTCAATGTGGTATTTTTTTAATTACAATCCTAGCTTTATTTAATGTGCACTAATACATTCGGGTTTGTGTGCATCTGACTTGATAATGCAATAAACAAATCGAGTGATGTGACCGTCCAAAATAAAATAATGTCAAATTGATATGGTGGAGGAAATAAGGGGTTATATAAATAAAATGCCAGTAACAATGATATTATAACTTTTTGCAGTATACAATGATCATATTTAATTTACTTACAACTGAATTTATGACAGTTATTGCAGCTCATAAACTTCATTTTGATCTACAATTACAAAATAAAACTTTGAGTTATTTCACTGCGATGTCCAGTATTGAAATAACAGTGAGTCAGACATATTCAAATATATGCAACTGCCTAACGCAGTCATGTGACTCAGAAGGGAGTGCCGTTGTCGAACTTGTCAGCTGGTTCATATACAATATAATGAATTGATATAGATACGAAATTTAAACCAGAGTTTTGAAAACGGAACA